ATTATCAAGGGTTCATGAAGGAGAGGGGAGCGGGGAGGGAGGGGGGGAAAATGAGCTGATGCCAAGGTCTTAAGTGAAGAGCAAATGTTTTGAGAATGTTGAGGGCAATGAATGTGCAAATGTGCTTGACACGATGGATGGATGGATGAATTGTGATAAGAATTGTATGAGCCCCCAATAAAATTATTTTTTTTTATAAAAAAGAAGGTTGTCTGGAACAGGGGGAAGAACCCATTCTCTTATCTAAAAGGTGGGTTCCGGTGCCAACGGTCTCAGGACATGTGAAAGGTCCGCAGAGCCCACTCGAGTGCAATTGCAGAGCACTTCCTTGTCTCGCACGCTTTTCTCAGGATCTCCAGGCTCTAACAACGTCCCACAAGCCAGGTGACTCCAGGCATACAAATGTATGCCTCACAGCACAGGAGGCTGCCCATTGCCATCGAGCTGATGCTGACTCCTAATGGCATGAAAGGACAGAGTAGGAACTGTCCCACAAAGACTGCCCCAAGCAGACTGCCACATCTTTCTCCGGTGGAGCTCCTGGTGGGTTCGAACCACTGACCTTTCAGTTAGCAGCCAAACATTTCACCCCTGTGCCACCAAGGCTCCCTGCTGTGGAGGCTCAAAACCCCAGGCTCAAGCCCAGCCGTCGAGTCTTCCCACTTAGCAGCCCTGTGGGACAGGGGAGACGGCCCCGTGTGAGTTTCCGAGACCGCAACTCATCACAGGAGGAGAAGCCTCGTCTTTCCAGTGATTTCAAGCTGCTCACCTTGCGGCTGACGGCCCAGCACGCAGGCCAGGAAACTGGCCCCACTGATTTCTCCAGAGAGACCAGTTCAGGCCTGCCTTCTGGCTTCTGGCGATGGCTTCCTGGGGTGGTACATCATTCTCGTGTCTGTTCCATTGTCGCGGGGCCCCTCTGTGTCTCTTCTCTTTCTTAAGGACATTAGTCAGACGGGGCCCACCCGACTCCAGGAGGACTTACTGATAACATCACCTCACCCTATTTCCAAAACAAGCTGTATTCTGAGATACTGGGCATGAGGTATCTTTAACACGTTTTATTCAAGCCCTCCGCCATCGCAGAGCCGAGATTTCTCCATCTGCTCATTCCCCTTGCCTCTGTGATAGTCCTGTCATCAGAGACGCCGTCTTCCGTTTCACTTTATTGTCAGTCTGACTTGACGCACCTGCCAACAACAGCATTATGTGGACAAAAAGTGCCATTTTCTTCTTAGCCCTGCTTTAGGCCCATCTTAAGTGTGCAACTCGGGGGCATTAATCACATTCATATCATGCAGCTGTCACCAGGATCCGTTCCCCAATTTTTTTCATCACCCAAAACAGAGGCATGATAGTATAGGGAGTTACTTGTTGGGCTGCCAACCACAAGGCCAGTAGTTCAAAACCACCAACCATCTCAAGGGGAGAAGATGAGGCTTTCTGCTCCCGGAAACCCACAGGGGCAGTTCCAATCGGAATCAACCCATTGGCAGTGAGTGGTACGCTTGGGGTCAGTCAGAATCTTCTTGATGACAGTGAATTTGGTGGTATTGAATCTTTTATCTTAAGAAATCCCTTTGAACGTGCTTCTATAGGGTTTTAAGGATGGAACTCTTACCACAGTTTGGCTCCTCACCCTCACCCTCTCTGATGCTGTTGACCCCCAACCCCCGCTGCCCACTCCGCGTCAGCCACACTGCCCGCTGCTGATGCTTGACTTCACTATAGGCACCACTTCAGGGTCCTGCTCCTGCCGGTCCTTCTGCCTGGAACCTTCTTTCCCCGGTCACCCACCCAGCTCCCTCCCTCCCTTCTTCAGGGCTTTACTACGATGGGCCCCCTCACTGAGGCCTACCTCGACCACCTCTTCCAATACCCCCCCACCCCACCCCCGCTTTCTTATAGACAGCACATTCTAATGTCTTGTTTTTGTGTGTGTACCCCCTTAGCACGCTGGCTCCACACAGGCAGGGGGTTGGCCTGGTTTGTCCACTGCCCAGTGCTCAGAGCAGCGCCTGACGCTCACTCCACTGTGTTTATGGAGTGACCCCCTACACTAAGGTGACCAGACATCCTGCTTTTGGCAGGATAGTCCCGATTTTTAACAATTTTCCCTGCGTCCCATCGGCATTTTTTAAAAGTCCCGATTTTTGGAAAGAATGCATGACAAGCTAGGGTATACGGTTTTCAGCTGCCATGTGGCTATTTCACCAGGATATGAGTTTTATTAATGGTGTCCTGTTGTTGTCCTGCTTCACCAATGTTAAAATCTGGTCACCTTACCCTACACCCCAAGCACTAATCTGGGCACCAGGGGTTTTTGTCCAAGTGTCTCCAGTGATTAAAGAATTCACTCGAGGGAACCTGGGGCGTCCATCTAGGCTCAAGGGAACCATGTCTCTTAATTCCTTGGAGGTTTGAGGAGCTGGGCACCTGGCCTCTTTCCCTCCAGCTCCCTGCCCTCTGTTTCCATCTACTCGGCTTCCCCACAAACCCAGGAGGGTGGGGCCGTCCCAGAGAACTGGGGCGGCGTGGGTTGGGGCATTTATGATCTAGAAACACAGGTTTTGCTCTGGTGGGGCCAGATTTTTCATGAGGTTCTACCCTTTTATGAGGTCCTAGGGAGAAACGCTTCTGAGGTGCTGCCACCCCGGACATTCGCGGGGTGGTCCCACTGGCAGAGCGGCCAGTGAGGTGGCACATGTCATAGGTGGCCATGACGACAGCTTTCCAGAGAGTCAGAGGATTGATGCCCATGCCACAGGAAGAGGGGTGGCTGCCGCTGCCAAGGGGCTGATGGAAAGTCTGTCTGGGGTGCCTGGAGGAAGCCCGGGGCCCGCATGGTACTTACCCAGCCTTCAGGGATGCGTGGCACCCCAACCCTGGGGGGCTGGCTGCCTCTGCCCGTGGGGCCCTCGCCTAGCATGGCCAGCCAGCTTTTCTTTCCTCTCGCTCGAAAAGTCTTCCGGGAGACTGGGAATGACTCTGGAGTCCTCTCGCTCTTCCTGCGTGGAAGCAAAATATTTCCAGATCTGAAGGCGCGGGCGGGGGTCCTCAGGGCCATTAGTGAGTGCTTGCCTGGGCCCTCTCCACCTGGGCACACGGGCCAGTCACCACTTCAAACTTGAGCCCCGAGCCGAGCAGAGGAGTTGCTGCGACTCCAGAGGTTTCTTCTTTCCCCCTCTGAAGTATTTTGAAACTCAAGTGTCCACATTTCTGAGGGTTTGATGTCATGAAATTCCCATGTAGGACTGCATGTTGAAAACAAGAGTTGTCCCGTGTGTTGGAATGGGAGAGGGTGAGCGTGTAACTTAGCAAACCAACTCCTCAATGCAGCCTTCGAGGCTGGGACCCCCGGAGGCTGTGCCCTCGGGTCCAGCTGGTGGGAGATGGGCCCAGGGGACGTGAACCTGAAAGTGCCTGGGTTGAGGGTTCTTTCTATTTCAAACCGTCACACCTGGTACTTGAAGATTTCGTGTTTCCCGGGGCGTAACCCCTCTCCCCCGGGTTCTTTCCCACCGACCCCCTTCCCCGCCAGTCTGGCTTCACCCAAACTGCTCGGTGGAAGAAAGGCATTTCTAGGAAGAACAGGACCTTGGGGTCTTTCTCTTTTGTTGCTGAAGCCAGCCTCGTGGGGGAGGGGGGGGCATCCCTGACCGCAGGTGCAGCCACAGTGCTGGGGCAGACTGGGGAGCGGGCAGGGAGGGGTGGCAAAGAGTCTTTTCTTGTCTGTCCGTCTGAGAAGAGGTGGCAGCCAGCACTTGTTACCTTACAAAGCCTCCACAGTCTGCTCAAGCGAGCGGCACCCTCTGGGGCCCAGGGTGCCTGCAGAGCAAACACCCTCAGCAGCCTGTTGTCCTTGACTCCCTTCCCACTGTGGCCACCCAGGGGTGACAGGAGAACGGGCCTCAGAGGGCTTTCTGGGCCATGACCGGGGTACGAACTCATAGTTGGTTATGCTCGTAGTGCAGTGGCGGTGAGTTGGGCTGCTAACCGTAGGCTAACCACAAGGTCGGAGGTTCAAAACCACCAGCTGCTCCAGGGAAAAAAGATGAGGCTTTTGACTTCCATCAAGAGGGATCAGCTCAGAAATCCGCACGAGCAGTTCCCCTCTGTCCTCCAGGGCCACTCAGAAGCAGAACCCACTGGACGGCAGTGAATATGGTTTGGGATTTTGTTGTGTTGTTCTGTTTGTCGTTGTTGTTATCTTCTACATCCATAATCATCTTACCTTCATTACTGGTGATGAATGGGAGTGTGAGGAAGCCAAGAACTCGGGGCTTAAGAATGCAAGGCCTGTGCTGCTCCAAGTCCCCTGTGCTGTGAAAGGGGGGCTTCTGACTTTCAGGACACCCCTCCCCTCCCCCACCTCCGTCTCCCATCCCAGAGGAGTAGCAGCTGCCCCTGGGACACTGGCAGGCACTGGGACCAAGGTTGCCAGCCCAGAACGAGAACAAGGCAGCAGTTGTGTGGCGAAGCTCTCAAGGGCGTTGGGACAGATACCGGGGATATTGGACAGTGAGGAGCCGAGAAATGCCAGAGATTTTTCACGTGCAAGTGGATATTTCCTATGAGAGTTTCTAGACTAAATAACATGCTGGTGTCCAAGGGGACGGCGTAGACTGCTGACCTAGAGATGCTCTCCAAGTCCAGGATGAGCACCCACCCCCACCCCCGGCCCAGCCCCCGCAGCTGCCTGGAGGGGACTACGAGCAGAGGAAGGTGGAGGTGCCTGAAGAAACGTCTCCCCTGGAAGACTCCTCCCTCGGCCTGCCTCAGCGAGGGGGAGGAAGAAGTGGTGGGCAGACCTGGGGAGAAAAGGGGCTGGCCTTCTGAGAATAGAGACGCGGGCCTCCCTGTTAACTCATTTTCATCATATGTATGTATTTAAGAAGTCAGAGCTATTTAAATGGGCTGACATAATTCTTATTAACTAATAATGAAACTTGGGGTAAAGTAAGAGCCGTGCTTGGCTTAACCAGAATGGCTTCTAGACTGGTCCTATTCATAGAAGGCTATTATGAGCCTTCTGGTTGAAATGAGCAAGCAGAGGCACAGAGAGAGCCTGGCCTGCCCACTGGCAGATCAGAAGGCGGTGATGGGAGAGCCGGAGCCAGCCAGCTGTCGGCTCTGCTCTGTTGAAGCTCAGGGCATCATTTACTGGTTTAAGTCTGGGCTGTGCTCTAAGTTTAGGTACATGGGGCGAGGCTGATTCAGGCTGCCAGGCAGAGGGGATTCCTTAGAGTAACACCCTGTGTCTCCCCCGTGGCCTTACACGTTCCTCCTTTAACTCCATTGCTCTCTCAAGAGGGGGATCCCTAAGTGGTTAACACACTCAGCTGCTAACGAGAAGGTTGGCGTTTTGAGTCTACCCGGGACTTCCTAGGAAGAAAGGCCTGGCGATCCACTTGCCCCCAATCAGCCATTGACAACTCTAAGGAGACAGGTCAGCTCGGACTTACAAGAGCCCCCATGAGTCAGACTCCACTCCCTGGCAACTACCCCCACCCTCTCTCTCTTTATCTCTCTCTGTGGGGAACTTGGGGTAGAACTAGGCATGCTCACCATATCCCCTCTACCCGCACCTCACCCATTCTCTCCTCTCTGGGTTCTGCCCGTCTGCAGAGGGCAGGCTGGCTGGATCAGGAGCAGCAGACCCCAGGTTGTTGGCTGCTGCAACCACAATCCAGGGCGGCATGTCCCATCCGGGAACCCACAGGCCACAGTCATGTTCCAACAACAACTTGATAAAAAGGATAACGTGACGTCCCAGCTGCTGTTTTGTCTGGCTCCTGCATTAGGTTGATTATGCCGGTTCAGGGGAAAACGCCCTTCCCAAACCTAATAATTTCATCCTCAATAGCATGTGGACTCAGGGGGACCTGCCAGCTGAGTCTGGTAACCGTGAAGCCATTCCAAGTGCCGGGGACATAGGTTTCGTAAACTAAGTAGTAACGTAACATTAAAAGGACGGATCCAGCCTGCAAGGGTGGCCAACCTACTTTCAGAAAATCAGTTGATCCCGTAGAGAAATCTGACTTGAAACCTAATTTTAGATCCTAAATTCAACTTCTTAAGTTTAGGCAACAATTCTGTCAAGCAAAGTCTATAGAGAATCAATCATGAGCTAAATTAGGTTTCCATTAAAATTTTAAAAAGGCACATTCTACCCGTCTTTTGTAGATGTTGAAAAGGAGGCCCCTCGTTTTCCTTTTGTGTTTTGATACCTTAAAGTCATGCTCCAGATACTTTAAAGTGGGCATCCAGGTCACTTTGTAGCACAGGAGCCACGGTGGGAATTCTTTCTCTGCCTGACAGCATCCACGGCAATAGGCGATAGCGGAATATTTACGTACTTGCCTATGACACAGAATCAGACCTCGAGCCCCTGAGCACAGATGCTACTTGGGCTGTACTCAGTAATAGCGCACCGTGTCATGGATTGAATTGTATCTTCCGAGAAGATGTGTTGCCTTGGCAACACATCACGTGTGATTCTTCTCGGTGGTTGGGCAGTTATGTGATGCTGTTATTTGGCAGTTATCCCACGACGCCATCATCCTCATGATGTGATCGGATGTGACCATCACTTGGTTGAGTGTCAGGGAGTTAGGGTGGGATGTAACACCCTGATTCAAGCCTTGAGCTGACCTCAGCGGTGTTGCCCTGGGGTGTGGCTTGCATCGTGCTTTACCTTACATTAGATGAAAACGTTAGAGAAAGAAACAGAAGAGAGGTCTCAGGACCACAGGAAAGAAGAGCCAGAAGCCGAGTGTGTCCTTTGAACTTGGGCCCCCAGTGCTGTGACCCTCTAACACCCAGCAGAAGATTGAGACCAAGACGACAGCGATCTCCAAGGAATGCCGCCTCCACGGAGGTCAAAAGGAGACAAGGGCCCTTCTCTAGAGCCTCCACAAGGCTTGTGCCAGCATTCCCTAGAGTTGGCCCTCAGAATGTGCACCTCTAGCTCCCTAGATTGTGAGAAGGGAGCCCGGTGGTGGAGTGGGTAGGCACTGGGCTACCGTCCTCAAGGTCAGCAGTTGGAAACCATCATCCAGTCCTTAGGAGAAAGACAGGGCATTTCTAGTCCCGTAAAGACTCCCAGTCTCAGACACTCACAGGCTAGTTCTCGGTGTCCTACAGGGTCCCTGTGAGTCCAGATCAACTGATGGCTGTGAGTGAGATTGCGAGAGAAGGAATTCCTCTGTGTGTTAAAGGCATCCACTTGTGATAGTTCTGCTGTGGTCACGCTAGTTAACTCAGGAGAAACGTCGGTTGCTCAGCTGCTAACTGGGAGGCAGGTGGTCCTCTGTCAGGACGACCTGGTCGGAAACCCCAGGGGTGGGCTCTTCTCTGTCACACGGGGTCGAGAGCGTTTACATCAATCGGACGACACCTAACACGTGGTGTCACGTGACCATCAGGAGGCGGCGGGCCTCACATGCCGCCCCCAGCGTCCAGTCGACTCTGGCTGGTGGAGAGCCCGTGTGTGCCGGCGTGGACTGGTTTTCCCAAACAGGTGTCCAGCCCTTTCTGCAGAGCGTGCTGTCATACAAATGCCGCACGTGGGCGGCTTTTAGGACCCGAGATGTATTTTCTCAGGATTCTGGAGGCTGAAAGTCCTCCTAATCAGGGTCTCAGATGTGTCCACTCCTTCCTTGTCAGGAGTCCCAGGCTGTCTTTGTTTCTTGACTTGTCGTCAATCAGTCCTCAGGAGCCGTCCGTATGCCCTGCCTACTCCCTACACCTCACTTGTCTCTAGATAATGCAAACGTTTCTAGAACATACAAGGGATTAGATAATCCTTGTATAACTCAAAAATGATTAGAGTTAGAAGTTGCTCTATTTGGGTATGGTACAGTTAACAAAACAAAGAAAACCCAATTTCAAGCAAGATTACAGGCATAGGTATAGAGATGAGGATTCCAACACATGTTTGGGGGACACAGTTTAGTTGAGGACAAGGAGGTTGGTGACAAAGAAAGAAAAGGCTCTCCAAGAAAAGGCAGTCAGGGGGAGACTGACAGGGCAAGACTCATGGCTATTGGGCCCCCTCTATGGTCCCCATTATGGTGACCTCCATCCAGGACACACCCAAGCACGTCACTAAAAGAGAGACAGTCCCTCCCTTGACTGGTTAGAGATGGGTGGGGGTAATCTCTTCTCTGAGACACTGCCTGAGGGCAAGATCACCTGTATCCATGGTGAATGATCAGAAAGAATTCAACGGAGGCTTAATCTATGTGGGGACACTGCAAGTGAATTTGGGGCTCTCACAGCCATCCATAGCCCCTTTGCAAACCAGGGTGCTCCAAATTTAAGCTCTAATACAGGGGGTACAGGCTGGTAGAGACACCCCCAAGAGGTGTCATCACCTTGTGGCCTAATTGATAGCTTGGTCTCCACCCCTATCTTCAGCCATGAGTGTCCACTCGACCGAGGCGCTAACCACCACAGTCCTCTGCGTGCCATCTTGCTTTTTCTTTTTTTTTTTTTTTTAACATTTTATTAGGGGCTCATACAACTGTTATCCCAATCCATACACACATCAATTGTGTAAAGCGCATTTGTACATCGTTTCTCAAAACATTTTCTCTCCATTTAAACCCCCGACATTAGGTCCTCATTTTTCCCCTCCCTCCCCGCTCCCCCCTCCCGCATGAGCCCTTGATAGTTTATAAATGGGTATTTTGTCATATCTTGCCCTGTCCGATGTCTCCCTTCATCCACTTTTCGGTTGTCTGTGCCCCAGGGAGGAGATCACACACAGTTCCATGTAATCGGTTCCCTCTTTCCTACCCATTCTCCCTTTACCCTCCCTGTTTTGCCACTCACACCACTGGTCCTATAGGGCTCATCCGTCCTGGATTCCCTGTATTTTCAGTTCCTATCTGTACCAGTGTACCTCCTCTGGTCTAGCCAGACTTGCAACATCGAATTCGAGTCATGGTAGTGGGAGCGGGGAGGAAATATTTAGGAACTAGAGGCCATCTTTGCTTTTTAACGGTGTAACGGTCTCTCATGCAGCAGGGTTTTCCAGTGCAAGACATCGCTCGATTTCTTGATGATTGTCTCCAGACGCTTGGACTGTGGATCCAAGCAAAAGGTAATCTTTGACAAGTGCAACTTTTTCAGTATTTATCAAAACACTGCTTCTCAGTCCAGTTACGGGGGACGCGGTTCTCCTCCTCTTGAGGCGGAGTGCGTACTGGAAGCCGTGGTCTTGGGTCTTCGTCAGCAAACGCTCCAAGCCCTCTTCACTGCCGGCACACAAGGTGGCATCAGCTGCATCGTGCAGGCTGTGCGTGAGCCTTCCTCCAATCCCAATGCCTCCTCCTCCTTCCCAGACGATGTGCTCAGCATTCAGATCGAATAAGGATGGTGAAAAGATACAACCCTGATGCGTACGGTTTCTGGTTTTAAACTGCGCAGTATTGCCTGTTCTGTTCCAATCACTGCCCCTCGGTGTGTGCCTGGGTCTGGCGGGAGCACAGTTGAGGGTTGCACCTGGGGTGTAGCTCTGATCATTGTAGGGACCCATCCTGGAGAGGCCTGGAGCATCAGGAAGTCAAAGAGGGCAAGCTGTACTTGCTATCAAAGCTACCTGCCGGCCTGTAAGCCTATACAAAGGGAAGAAGAGGGTGAAGCGTGACTCTGTTTCAGGTCCGGGGAAAGCCCAGAGGCAGAGAATAAACCAGGGGGACCAGCAATTCTCATGTTCCCCTGTAAGAGCCAGCCCGGTCCAGCAGGGCCTACAGAATAGCAGAGATCCTGTGGCAAGGCCAAAGGAGAGCTTGGAAATTTGTTCTTTGGAAGAGAGTGGTTGGCATGGGAGCGCTTTCCCTTGCCACCTCACCCCCACTAGGGAAGAGGGGAAGGGATGCTTCCCCTCCCTCAGTCTAGAGATGAGGACTTCAAAGAGCCCATCCGCAGAGGTGACATGCGAACCAGAAGCTTGGGGGTCTGTCGTGTAACCAAGATCCCCTAAAGACCATCATCCAGGTGTTAAAACAAAGAGAGAGCACGGTGTGTGAGCAGAGTCCCACCCCCGGGGGCTGTGCAGAGAATGCCTGGGCGGTTTCCCAAGCAGCAGATCTGGGCCAGGAGAGAGAGCTGGCTCAGGAGGGCCGTGGGAGAAAGGGGCTGCGCGGCTGAGCAAAACAGCCCAACACCTCACCCCAGGAAGACGTGCTCGCTTCTTCGGGACACAGTGAGTGAGCACGTCTCCAACACAGGGAGGGGGCTTCTCCAAAGCACCCCAGCACCCTCACAGGAGACGTCAGCTTCAACTGTTCTGCCATGGTCACGGCCAGGGTGCCTCCCCTCCTCCACCTTCACCTGGAAGAGCCCCCAGCCCATGAGGGGAGGTAGCAGGGACAGAGACTGGTGACTACGTGGAGGCCACAGCAAGAAGGGGCTCTCTGGTTCCGAAGAAAGGAAACTCCATGCAATGCTGCTGCTCAGCGAGTGTTGATGTTTTGGTGGGGGGACCCGGGCACCTTTGTGTCATCCAGGAGGTCACTGGAGGGCCAGGACTGCTGGAGGGGTCACTCAGGATGACAGGAGGAACCCCCACCCCACCCCCCACCGTGCTGAACTGCCACGGAGGGGAAAGAAGTGGGACTTACTCCCATGCACCCAACAAGCCCTGCCCATGCCACATCCAAGTGTCACCAACCTGGCGGCGATGCCTGTGATTGGCTTGCGTTTTTAGATGGAATTGAACATTGGCAAGTCCCTTCTCCTGAACGGCAGACGCTTTCTTACTTGCGTGGCATTCTGTGCAGCAGAGCACCATGGGGCGGGACCTCTAGGCCTGTGCACCCTGACGTAAGAAGCGAGGAGCAGAATGCCACCCCCCATTTCCTTTTCAGTGCCTGTGAAAAGCAACTCCTTTCCCCTGTCTTCTCCAACCATCACCTGCCAGTCAGAGGCCGCGAGTGATCCGGATGCTTCCTCTCCCCACCACGTCCAGCTGGACCTGCAGGGCTGGTGCAGACTGCACCCCAAGCTGCGTCCCAGCCGGGGAGAGATGATCTGGGTCTGTACCAGACGGGGTGTTGAAAATCACCAGACTGGAGGAGCTGGCGTGTATCTGTCTCCGCTAAATTCCCAGGAATCCCGGGCGTGTGGGAAGCCTTGTCAGCCTGTGCATGGAGGTGCAAGCAGAGGGCAATTGGGCAATGGCAGCTTCTGACTCCCACTGCCCTCGCCTCCCCTGGTGCTGGCACTCTCCGTGCCAAGGCAGGCCAGTGCCAGGGCAGGCCAGACGCAGCCAGGATATTAATAGCCCTGGTACATGACTGGGCAGCTCGTGGGAGCAGATGTTTTCTGATCTGGGGAAAAGGGAGCTATTTATACTGGGAGTTGGATGAAAATTAGCCAGAGGGAAGGCTGCAACCACATTTCATGTTCCTGTCCTCCTGACTCTGGAGAAAGTACTGCACATCCTTAGGTCATTGTCATTGCCTAGAGTTCAACCAGCATACAGGCTTGAATGCCAGGCTCTGGGCAGACCCTGAGGTGCTGAGATGAATCTGCCAAGGTCCCTCCTTGCCGCAGGCCAGGAAGGAAGATAGGCCAGTGTGTGAGAATCTAAAAGCTCTACGGTACAACTATTAGTCTCTTGCCATCCGGAGCAAAGAAATGTGAAGGTAATCAAATATTCATGGAGTCAGTCTAAAGGGAAAATGGGCCATGTGAACTTCAGGCTGAAGTTCATATCCTGAGACCAGAAGAACTAAGATGGGGCCAGGCATCTACTGCTAACCACTCTGAAAGAGATTGCCATAGGTGGTCTAGGTCGGAGTGGAAGCAAAATGTAGACTGAAAAAAGGTCAAATTTACTAGTGTATTTGCACTTCAGTTTTAAGGGCTTGATTTGCAGAAGGCAACAGTATACCCCGGGCTCCCTAAGTCCATCTTGAGTCTTGACATACATTCATTCTCCATTTAAGTTCTTTCTGACCATTAACCAGCCATGAGGCAGATGCTTCGTGTTCAGCCTGGGTGTGTTTGAAAGGAGAGTACAGCTCCTGCAGGGGCTTCAGGTTGGGCGTTGAGCTGCTAGCCACAAGGTTGTTGGTTTAAACCCATCAGCCGCTCTATGGAAAGAAGATGAGGCTGCCTGCTCCCATAAAGATTTTTAGTCTTGGACGCCCTGTGCAGGGCCAAGATGACTTGGAACGGACCGTGGCCGTGGGTTTGGGTTCTGAAGCCAGAGCAGGGAGGAGAAGCCTTGCCCTCAGGGGAGTTGCTTGGACTTGCCCTTCGTTTGGAAGTTGGAATGCTAGGACTGCAGGGTCCTGAGTCCCCCACCCCTGACCATCGGGTAGCTGGGACTTGGAGAGGCCCAGCACCCGAGTCTCCAGGCTTTTCTAATCTGCCGACGGATCCATATCCCAAGCATGCTTCTTTTCTGGCTTGCTCTGCTGCCAGTCATGAGTGTATACGGGTTGGCTCTGTTTTCCATATCTATCAATTAATCACGTGGCCATGGGTCCTTGGGACACCGTTAGGGCCGTGGCCTGATGGTCTCCCTCATCTGGATGAGTTGTCTTTGTCCCGCCTTTATTCTGCTGAAGAGCTACTAATGGGGTCTCTATAAAATACGAATCTGGGGTCTTTTTACCCGTCCAACAATACTTCACCTGAAAACAAACGAATCCTCATTACCATCAAGTGGATGCCGACTCTTAGCGACTGACCTAGGGCCATGAAAAACCACAACAGCAAACCAGTGCTAAGCTGGGTGATTAAGACTATATGTATATATAACCAGTCGATCATTGGCAGATTCCTATGGTAGTTACATAATTTGTTGTCAACTTGAGACTTAAGAGTGAAGGGGTGGAGTGTAGACTATCAATCAGGTCACAGCTTGATGACCTTATTTGGAGGCACAAAGGAGATAAATAGCTCGATGGAGGTGGGACACACTCTCTGCCCAAGCAAGACATTCCTGCTGACAAGCCACATGGAACTACATGCTGATGGAGCCAGAGCCCTGGAGCTGGAGGAGCCACATGGAGACCCACGCCAGCGCTGAGAGGCTTCCACCACCACTGGACCCACATGACTTTCCACCCACTGGCCTGTGATCTTTCTTCCTGCATTTGGCGTCATTGCATGTGCTGTGTGAGTCTGAACAAGAATTGATAGACTGGTAATGGACAGATGGGCTAATATCGGACCTCTGGATTTGACCTGGACTGGGCTGGGATGTTTTCTTCATGTACAATTGCTCTTTGATATAAACTTCTCTCTTGTACACATGCATCTCCCTGGATTTGTTTCTCTAGTCTACCAGGACAAACACAATTCCATATTCACAAATTCACTTAAAAAGAAAGAAACCCACTGTCATGGAATCCATGTCCACTCTTAGCAACCCGACAGGACAGAGTAGAACTGCCCCTGGTGCTTTCCCAAGGCTGCAGTCTGGGTAGAAGCCGACTGCCCCCCTTGCTCCCGAGGGGTGGCAGTGGTTCCCATGCAGACGCTCCTGGCGAAGAGAATGACGCTCTGGCTTCCTGTTTCAGCGCTCACACTGGACCTACGTGTCCCTTTCCTTATCTGCGGAGTGTCACGCTGTGCCCCCATTTGCGCTTTGTGTTGGCTGCCTCACTGCTTCAAATGCCTCCAAAGCAGGGCCCCGTGTGGTCCCAGAAGGCTGCGCGGAGCCTTGTGGAGAAAACACAGGTGTGTGGGACGCTTCTTTCCGTATGCATTATGCCCTAGAGCAAACACAACCCTGTGGAAGTAAAATGAAGAGGCTGGCTGACAGTCCGGACTGAGAAGGCGTCCAAATTGACAGAGTGCAGATGGCTGTTCCGCTGGACAGTATGGAAGGAAACATTTTTGGTACAGTTGGAGTGGACACTAAAAGTGGCCACATCATCAATTGGCTGGAAGACCGTCAGGAGAATGAGAAGCAGGACGTCTGAAGGCAGAGACGTGCAGGGCTGGGCGGATAACTCACCGCCATCACGACCATTCCCACTCACAGCGACCCTGCAGGACAGGGCAGAACTGCCCCTGGGGCCTCGTCCCAGGAGGAGAGAACCTCATCTTTCTCCTGCAAGGCCATTGGGGGTGAGGCTTTCTACTCCTGTAGAGAGTCACAGGCTGGGAAACCCACAAGGACCATTGTTCCTGTAAGGTACATCTGAGTCAGCATCGCCTCAAGGTGGTGAGAACATAGACTGGGTTCCATGACAGCGGCGGGAATGTGCTCTTTGTCGATTACAGGGTGGTCCCCGGACAGGTTTTCCTCCAAAAAACCAGACTCACTGCCATTGCATCTGTCCACTGGGACTTACGGTGAGCCCCTGGGACAGAGTAGAACTGCCCCTTGGGTTTCCTGGGCTGTGAATCTTATAGAAACAGACGCGGAGGTGAGGGTGATCTGGCTGCGACATCTGTCACCCCAGGGTTGATTAGACTGATCTGGCTGGCTAGGCAGTGTCCCCTTCCTCCCTCACTGCTCCATGTGCACCCCCCCGAAGCTGCGTGCTCGGTCGAAGAGGACCACCTTCCCCGATAGAAGGAGGACCGTCCTTTGGTCAAGGGTAGAAGAGTAGCTGTGCTCCCCTGCTAGACCCTCCAAAGAAGTCTCAAGAAACAGACTGCCACGCCAGTCACCCAGGGAGCATGCTGGTGGTTTCCAACCGCTGACCCTGAGATTAGCAGCCCAAAGCATAACCGACCCCACCGCCAGGTGGGTCACAGGAGAATGGCAGGGCCCACGTTCCCAGTAACCTATGACTGAAACTACTTTCTCAACCATATCTGGTTCTGAGGGTCTGCTGTAAAGATTTATCAATCGTGTTGTGCGTGAGGACCCTTCATGCCTAAGTTATTGTATCTTGCACCTATTTGATCATAGGGGAGAGACCCTCTCGGAATAGACTATTGGGATCCTGCACCTGTCAGACATGAGAGAAACCAAATGTCCCCTTTAGGGCGTATGACTAGGTCAGCACAGATTCTAGATTCGTTTCAATACTTGCAAACGGAAGTAAGACTCCACTTTCAGAATGCTCTGTCTTCACACAGTGACTCTGCTTTTACCCTTTCACACATTTTTAATGTCGTTGACCATGAGTTGAATGCTAATGAGCCAACAATCTATATTAAATCAGGTCCCTTTAAAAAGAACCATACATGAAACAAAGTTATGCATTGATTGGTTGAGTTAGTTAATTGTGCCAACCTGGACGATAATCACATGTGGGGCTAATTGAAAGGCAGAAGGATAAATGGGTGGTGAGCCTCGCCTTTCTAGCTCTCAGGTCTCTTGCTCTGTGATGGTCGCACCAGGGTGCAGCTGCCTTACCAGTTCCCTGCTTCAGCTTGCAAGATTGACTTCTTACAAGACATCCCCAAGGAGAAGCCACATGGACCTATCCCGATGCAGCCCTGGGTGCTGGAGCAGCCGTGTGGAGACCTCTCTGCTAGTGCTGAGATGCTTGTTCGTTCACTGACTCAGCTTTCCTCCTGCAGTCGGCGTCATTGCCTCTATTTTGTGAGGTGGAGGACTTTGTGGACTGGTGTTGGGTTCATGGGTTAATGTTGGACGTGTGGGCTTGGGCAGCATTGGGTTGGGATCTTTTCGTGATGCACGCTTTCTTTACATGAAACTCTCTTATACATGAGTTGCTGTGGATTTGTTTCTCTAATGTACCTAGACTAACACATTGGTTGATGAAAATGCTGTGACCAGAGGCTTGTAGGAAGCTAACCGCATTTTCCCCCCCGAGAGCCAGTTCAGCGTCCCTGGCCACCATGGGGGACATAGAGTTGCTGCTAGCTGCCATGTTTCATGGAGAAAAACGCTGCCTGGCCCCACGCCATCTTCGTGATTATTGGTGTGTTTGTGCCCCTTATTGCAGCTGTTGTGACAATCAGCTGTGGTGCCGTCCCATGAAGGCCTCCCCTCAAGTCTTGCTGATCTTCCGCTTTATCCAACGGAATGCCTTTCCCGAGGGATTGACCTCTCCAGAGGGAGTGTCATGACGTGCATGAAAAAAATTCCACCATCTTTCCAGTCCATCTTTTCCATGAGCTCTCTGAAGTTCCTGGAAAAATAGGTGTGTCCAAATAGGTGTG